ACACCTGTGCGTGGGCTCACACACCTGTGCGTGGGCTCACACACCTGCTCCCATCCGTCCCGGTTTGCATGAGCTGCCACCCGTCTGTGGAGTGACACGTGTAAAAACGGCCTCCGTTTGGTAGACGCTATCGTAAATCCGGGGTTTTTTTCTTTCAAATCGGGGCTTAGAACAAGCGGGAATTTGCATATAAACTGTGTGTTTTAACAATGAGAGGGAGGAGATGGGTGTAAATCTTCAAACGAAAGGCCTCAAAGACATTAAATAGTCCCATAAATCCACCTCAGTTTACAGACCAGCGTCTACGGGGGGGATTTTTAAGGGAAAACTGGATTATCAAAGCATCTTCTGTTGTCAGGAGCCCAGAAACTGCCATTTTAAAAAAAAAACAAAGAAACTCCACAGCTCGTCCAAAACGAGAAGATTAAGCTTCTGGTTCGCTCAAAAAAAAAAAAAGAGAATTGATTGTGCGACTGAAAGGGAGAAGGTTTCTGTTCTCTGTTTGAAACGCCTCTCTAAAGGAGGCTGGACCTGGACGTTGGTCTCCTTGGTTCTGAATGAGCTCACTGCCCGGCTGAGTCCAGACATGTTTACGTACCCCGACGGGGGGATAAAACTCTGAATACATTCCAGTCGTTCGCTTTTTCTGATCACGTGACCTGCCCCAAATTTTGACTGATGAAGACAATTAGAAGAATTTAGGGATTCAGTTCACAGAAAAAAAAAAATGAGGAAGGGAGCTCATTTTATGGAGTTTCTACAGAATCATGACGGTCTTCTTTTCTAATTCAGGGTGAAAATCATTTCAGGGTGCAGAGGTTAAGAATGTAAAATATGAGTTCTTATTATGTTTCTTTTTCCTTTTTAATTGCATGTCAAATACTCTATATGTGGAGCCCAGTCACTGTAAACTGTACCACCGATGGAACTGCGTCATTCTTTTTGGAAATTAAATGCATCACAATAATAAAAGATAGCAAAAAGGTTTATAAAATTCTACCCGTCTCCTTTTTTTCAGTTTATTTCTGACTTATTTGTGTATCAATGAGCTCTGTGCCAAACAAAACCGAAAGAAGAAAAGGGAAAATGTGTTTGAAAAGCCACTTTTATTCACACGTTAAGGAAGTTTAACCTTACTTTTCATGATTACTTTGCTTCTGTTAGACTTTCTAGGCTTTGTTTTTTGGCTTTAGTGCTATTTTACCTTTACAGACATGTTAATTCTGACGCTTGTGTCAGAAACTGTGATTTAGGAATTTGATTACAGGACAGTATCATGTCTTGGTCCTATATAACGATACTTTTAAGGTCGGTAATACAAAACCACAGGTTCAGATCGCTTTATTTCTGCAGGAAAACAGCAGGTCCACATATTTCTGTATTAAAACACCCACGCAGACAACACCCACGCGGCTGCTCAGCTCCCCGTGACCACCAGGGGGCGCCCTAGAGCCCCTGCTGGTCATAAAACCTATTCATTTAGCATGTTTCTCCTCTTTTCTTTGCTTATTTGAGTGATAGTTCCTGTCAAAAAAGGGCATGTAATTATACAAAAGGATAATTCAAAGCAAATTCGACCAAATGTTGATGTTTTTTTTAAAGTTAGTAAATCTGATCCTTCTATGAGATATTGTCTGCCCATAATACTAATCTAATATCATGTTAAAAGAACATTTTAATGTAATGAAATGTTTCATTCTGTGAGAAATATGATCGAAAGAAAGTTAAAGACTCAGAATTCCACATTTGTAAGCCCATAATTGTAATTGCATATTTATTAACATGCCATTTAAGACGCTGAGCTGCTCATTTCCTCAGTTTTAATTGGCCTGGGTGGATTAAGGGATTGGTTTCTGAGCTCTGCTGTTCTCTGCCCGTTTGTTTTGTCTGGGCTTTTACGGTCTTTGACCTGCTGGCCTCCTGTAATTTTGTGCGTTCCGCTCCGGGCTGAAGCCATTTGCTCTCTCACAGTCTCCTTAATCCCGAATGAAAGACCTGCCGGCAGATTAGAGTGTGTGGGCTGACCGAGAGACGCTTGCTGTTTCAGAGCTGTGCACGAGGGAGAGGGAGAGATTAGCTGCCGGTTTAAGCTGCTGCTCTTCTTTTTCCAACAGGACGAAGAGGAGTATTTCCACGGATGAGTCACCTCAACCTGAATGTCTGTTTTGGAACTGAGCATTAATGAGTCTCATTATCGTTATGTCTAACACTCAAAACAAAAAGCTCTGTGGGGAAATCTAAGGCTTTGTTTGAAAAAAACAAAAAACAAACTGGGACAAGCTCAATGAATTTCTCAGCTCAGAGAAAAATCTGAAAATGAATTCAACAGGAGTCAGAAAACTGTCCTCACAGCAGGTTTTAATGTAAAATAATAACATTTCAGCCACAAAGAAAAGCAATGAATCGTATCCAGTTTCTACATGAAACACATTTAAAGTAATCATGGTTCCAAAATACTGCCCAGCTTTAAAATATTTACATATTTTCTTGCAAAGATTTTAGGGGCCTGTAGTGACCGTGAGCAGCCACTAGATGGCGGTGTTACAGCGTCTGCTGAGTCCGGAAACTTTAAAATGGCCAAACGGAAGCCCGTACGGGACAAAAAGCTGCCCTGACAGTTCTGAAAGTGGTTATTTTCCGTCTAAATAGTCATCTGAATTCTCACTGACTGAAAAGGAATCTGGTTTTTATAACAGGAGGTAAAGAATTTAAAATAAAAAGGTAGTTCTTTACTCATTATAGTGGAATTTCAAAGAACTGTTTTAAATTTTTCTTTGTTTTTAGACCTTTTTCTGTCCGGTTACATATTTAAATAGCTGTTTTTGTCTTAGTTTGTTTAGTCTTAATGTCTTTGTAAAGGACGGGGGGTTTCTGTTGTGTGTGAAACGCCTGAAATGTCCCTGTGTCATTGTAACAAGGAAGTAGCAGCTGGTGATGTGGAAACGGGGAATGTGGAAAAGTTGTTTTAACGTTTGACAGAATAAAGGCTGCAATCAAAACCGTTAAGTAAATACAATCCAGAGAGTAAAAGAACAAATACAAATACAGTAACAGTCATCCCCAGCAAACAAAGAGTGCCACGACTGAGCTCTTTAAAAAGTCAGAGGAATAGTGTCTACAGAGCGAGTCAGAATCAACAGAGTTTTCCTAAAGTCTGCCTGTAAACAGCATATGGGCCACAACTTTCAACAGGTGTGAATCCTAAATAAGAAAGGATTGTGAACAATAGAATCCAAACTGCTGACAAACATCCACAAAGACAGAAAAACTGAAGGACTCATACAAATGTCTCTGTTTCATGGTTCCTTTTTTATTAAGATTCCGGTTTTGAAACTTTTTCTTGGCTTAATGGACACCTTCTACAACATTAGAGAGGCCCTTTGGGGTGATGTGTAGCTCAGATTAAAGCATAACCTTTGTTGGTCCGGTCAGTAAGGACGATAGGAGCTCACACGTACTGACCAGAACCCGAATCAAGCTTCCACTTGTATTTTTGTTCATCCTCAGTGAACCAGAAACCAGCCAATGACCAAAAATATTCATGATATCGCGATGTTTTGATGCTGTTAGTTGTGTTTTATACATTATTGTTAATTTCACGTTGTGAAAAATGATCCTCATTAATGTCAGGAACAAGTCAAAGTGCAAAAAG